CTTAATGATTCTATGATTCTATGACATCTATTAAAGTCGGTTGGTGTTTTTCGTAACGTAGGACTTACGTTATCTAAAAATATGTTTTCCATCCTTTTGTAAGGTCAGTTTCAAAGCTGAGTCTTTAGAATGCACAGTTTATAATTCGTTTCTTCTATTTACGAGCAAATATACCACAGCAGAAGTAAACCAAGCATCTGGCTTTTTATTAAAAGCTGTTCTTCCTTTGCAATACACTCTGCCTATACTTACAGGAAAACCTTTCCTTTAAATTTTGGAAGAACAATTTAACCTAATTACTTTCAAAAACAGGGTTTGTCATGTAGCTGCCTAGATTTCAGCTTGACCAGAATTTCTTGCAGGGAAGAAAAAAGTATCTACTTATGTGTTACATGCAAACATGAACTACTGTTAGATTACTTTTAAAAACCAGTATGAATGGATTCTTACTGCAAAGTGTTATATTATTAAAGAAATGAAAGATACACGTAACATTTCTGAAGTTTTATAATTAATGCTGCAATTTTTTGTAGGCGTATCATTTTGGAAGGGAAAGGGGCTAGAAAGAGGAAGTCCAAACATACTCTTAATTTCCCTCCCACTTACACTGGAAAGAAGACAGTTACTGTCCACCCTGTCCCATCATGTAAGAATACATCAATTGTTTGTTGAGATTCAACATATGAAAACTTTTACAGTATGCAAAATTATTTACCAAACCACATGAACAGAAGTAATCAATCCAAATGAAACCATTCAGTCCCAGGTATGACCAGAGCTGCACACTGGGTAGCACTACTTTAAATTACTAAAAATCTATCCCATGTGCTGCTAAAAGAATCTATCCCATGTTCTGCACTGGCAGAACTCAAAGTTACTTTTTGGCCTGCTTTTTCTGGGCTCCTGAACTTCTTGTGTGTACTTGTGTACTTCCTGGCCAAATTTCATTCTGGGCGACGACTACTCACAGTTGATCATAAAAGAGTATTTTTGGAAGCTGCAAGCATGTACGAATGAAAAATGTAACCGAAGTAATGCCTTATTGTGTTGCTAGAACGAATGTAAGTGAGAATAGGCTTCTATTTACAAAACCAGCTGGAGTACTGCATCCAACTCAGAGGCCCCCAGCACAAGATAGACATGAAGCTAGAGCAGGTGATCAGAGAGCTGGAACACGTTTCCTATGAAGAAAAGCTGAGAGAGTTGGGGTTGTCCACCCTGGAGAACAGAAGGCTCTGGGGAGACCTTCTTGTGGCCTTCCAATACGTAAAGGGGGCTTATAAGAAAGACTGAGAGAGACTTTTTAACAGGGCCTGTAGTGACAGGACAAAGGGTAATGGTTTTGAACTGAAAGGGGGTAGGTTTAGATCAGATATAAGGAAGAAATTTTTTACAATGAGGGTGGTGAAACACTGGAACAGGTTGCCAAGAGAAGTTGTGGACGGCCCATAACTGGAAGTGTTCAAGGTCAGGTTGGACAGGGCTTTGAGCAACCTGATGTAATGACAGATGTCCCTTTCCATGGCAGGGAGGTTGGACTACATCTTTGAAGGTCACTTCTAACTCAACCCATTCTATGATTCTATGAATACTTCAACATATCACAAAGCAATTCACCTTAAGCAACCTCCTGCCATTTAGATTATCATGCTGCTTCCAAAGAACAAATTCACACTCATTCACACTACATGAAAACTCCAGGTTTCATCATTAGATCTTCAGGACATTGTTACTCTGTATACCCAGAAAAAAGCACATATTGCTAGCATGACACACAACTAAAATACTGGATACTGAGTCGTTACACTGTGTACAACTTTAAATATCGCATAGTACAGGGTGGTGACAGATAATCAAACCAGAAGGCTTTTTGCCACTTAACAGACAGAAAGGGGATTATAATAAATTTCTGCTCTATGTTTTTAAACTGACTCACCATCCAGAGGGAAGGTCCCAAGTCTTAATGGTACAGTCCATTGATGAAGTTATTAGCCAACGACCATCAGGACTGAAAGTCTAAAATAAAATAGTCAATTTAATGGCAAAACTGACAAGTCAGTCCCTACAGGAGGTCCTGGTTTACACAGTTCAAGATTAGATTGCTCCCTAACACCAGGATGAAATAGTCTGGCCATAAAACAAAACGGACACCACCTTACTGAAAGCGAGAAAAGGACAAAAACGGAAGCTATTTCAGAACAGGTTTAAATATATGACACAAGATACATCTGGGTGTTAGTAAAAGCACTTTGGTCCTCGCTTTTACGTTAATGATTAAAACCACTGAGCATGAAACTGAAGAACTCAAATAAATTCTTACTTACTAGCACTTAGAATTAAATCAGAAGCTAAAAACTACTTCAATGAACACCACAAAGCACTATTACACAAGATGTAAAATAAGCGATTATCAGCGAATTGTATAATCTCAGATCTGTTTACACCTTTTATTTACCTGACTCATATTTTCTATATATACAGTTAAGACTGTTGCACAATTTTGCTCCTCAACGCAGTTTTCATCATTCCTCATGCCTTCTTTTGTTAAACCCAAAATTAGCTTGTTGCAAAGTTACAGTAAAATCCCAAAGCACACTAAAAATACATGGCCATTTGAACACTACATATTTTAACTTGGAAACTAACATGACCAAAATTGCTGTAGAGCTGAACTACAACTTTACTATTCACAGCTGAACATAATACTCAGTGACTTAATATACACAGACGAATCCACCATCTTTAAAATGAATTAGGTATTTGTATATGTCACCTGTTACAGAAAATGACTTAACAATTACCATGTCATTAATCCGTCCATGGTGTCCTGAGAACGTCCTGACAATCCTCCTGGTTTCTATATCCAAAACACTAATACTGAAGTCATCAAAGGCAATTCCCAGAATACCACTGCCAAGAATCATTAGCACATATGAGAGTGAATATTCAAGAGACAAAAAATAAAACCAACATCCTAACGTTGCTTCAAAAATCTCTTATCCTGAGACAATCTCAGATAAACAGTATTACATTCCTTCAGTCTAATAAAATGTCTTGTAGTCATTTTGTTTTGTCCACTAGTAGTCAAACTTTATTAGACTATTTGGTTGACATCCTAGACTTACATACTTACAGCAAAACAATATGCACATGAAATAGCGTCAGTTTCTTACCTGTCTCTGTGAAGCAGAATTCCACTTGGGGAAGAAGAAAGCTCAGTGGAGTAAACTAGATCTTTAGTTTTGAATTTCCAAAATTTAATTAATCCTTCACTACCAGCTGTGATTATCAGCTGGTTTAATCCATCCACCGCTACTCCCCTAATGGCCCCCTCATGTGCTGCAAATCAAGGGAAAAGAAAGTTCTGCTTCAGATTTAAACACAGCATAGAAATCAGCAGAATGCCAAATACTATTCTGTGTGTCTTCACCTAACTACACAAAATGAGCAGTAAGCATGTGACAAACCATTCTAAAGCCTTCTGACAAGACTACTCAAATATTAAAAGTTTCTTTATCAGTACAGAAACCAAATGCTTTCAAGTAAGCACCTAGAATACAATACCAAAGTTGCGAGTAATTGAAGCTAACTATTATCTTTTATTTCTGCTTTTATTCAATTCTTTTTTTGAATGTGAGATTTGAAGGACTTTTTGAATCACTTACGGAATGCCTCCAGGGGCTCCGACCACTCCAGGCAAAAACTACAGCTTCAGTTCTGGCACAAAGTCTGGAAGTTTTACTAGGCTACTTTACACTGCAGTGTAAAGGTAAGACATAGCTCCTCTGGTTTTGGATCAATTTTATTTCTTAATGTATGCCTAGGGCTACTGGCCAGTAACCAAACTTATAAAATTCATCCCACTATCAAGCAATGATGTTATTAGGACACCACTTCATGTTTGCTATGCCAGATGGCTTTTAGAAACCCAGTAAGGTTTAAGTGTTCATCAGGACTTTTTCCTTATTTCTACAACAAAAAAATTCAGATCATAAGGGCCCTATTATAAATTGCAGACTTACAAAGCAACAGCAAACATACATGAGTATACATGACATGAAATATATATATGTATGCAACCATTAAAAGCAAAAGTCTGAACATTGTCACTTATATTAAGTCCTAAGTTTGCAGCTGGGTGATTGAAAATAGTAGCATATGCAAAGAGTTGGACTTGCTTAGTATTTCAATTTCCCATGCATGTAAACTATTCTTTCATTTTTAAGCAGGGACCACAAAACAGATGGGAAAATTTATTTCAGAGATAGAACCCTATAACAAGATGCCAAGTACTGGAAATGTGATTATCTCAAAAAGAGCTGAGGCCAAAGGATCTCATTTTAGTGCTAACCATTTTGGTAACTGACAATTCTCTGTTAATTAAAATCAAACATGCTAACATCAGAGCTGTCAAAACTAGCAGGCATCCTGTCCTTCAGAGTAGGTTTCAAATTACTTCTGATTACAGTGCAAGATAGGACAGTGTAGGGTTATCAGAGAAACTGAAAAGATTCCCAAATTCAACTCAGAAGCTATGTTAAATTTCCTAGATGACAGAACACCAGGTTGTTGCTATTCTGTTAAGAGTCAGGATTTTAAAAGCGTAGCAATTCTTACCTCTTTCTTTGCCGTAACGCCCTCTGTGAATGCCAGACTGCATGTTATACACATCTACCCACCCAGTTGACAGCCCAATTACAGCAAAGTTCCCACATGAGGTAATGTCAACAGCCTTTCAAGGAATAAAAAAAAAAACCACCTATGAAAACAATTCTTTAAATGTGTAAATAATTAGCAAAGTTGTTAGAAGATATATAACATATCAGGAATACAAAATACGAATATATTTTTATTAGACTGCATAGAAAAAAAACTGCACAGAGCAAAAAACAGATTACATCTCAAAAAAGTAGAGGAGCTTTTAAAATAAGCAAATAATCAACAAGTAATAAATACATGCATGCTTATGAAGAAGAATGAAATACTGACTTAGTGACATCCATCAGAAGTCATATCTAATAATGTAACCTAAATGACTAACCTATATAATCAAGACACACACAAACTCAAGCCCTAAGATACAGTCCAAGCATGACGACTGCATGTCTCTTTCAACACCCATATTGCCAATGGCACCCCAAAATAGGGTAAGTTCATACAGAGTTTAAATAGTAAGAAATAAAGAAACAGTCTAGATGGTCTAGATGTCTTTGGAAAGATACAATCCAAAGAATCTAGTAGTTAAAAGATAACTAGGTATTTACAACCAAACTGGTCTTGTCTACCACTTAACTACTAAGCATAAGGTCAGAAAAACAATTTGTCACAAAATAAAGTAGTATCATGAACGCCTAGCACATGAAGTATATCACAGTAACTACTTGTCTTGCAAGCTCGTAAGCCTCAGTAAACATCTCTTTCATTGACTGTCTGAATTTCACTGTGTCCAGCTCAAGTTGTAATGCATTTTAGAGGGAACATCCTGCCTGCAATTTGGAAATACATTTTTCTGTATTGCCAGAAAAAAGCATCTTCAGCAACTTGCATTCACAGAGCAAGTTTATCATCACAGGCATAAAGTCAACTCTGCATCACTATGACAGATTAAAGGTAAACACCAACCACCTATCTGCATCAGAAAATAAAATCTGCACTTAATCTGGATGTTTAAGGAAAAAACACATATGCAGCATTTTTCTTAAGACCGTATGCATTACAAAACAGCTAGTAGGACACACTGAGCTGGCAGAAAGCATTTTGCAAAGCAACTAAAACAGATAGTGCTTTTTCATTTGACGTATTGCTTCTGTACAAATAGAAATCAAAATAGCATATACTGTAATGCTGAAGAAACATCCATCCTAAATAAACTTACTGTTGCATATATATCAATAGGTTTGTGCTTGCTAAATTCTTCTGGCCTGAGTTTATGAGCTCCCATGGAAGTTTTCTGATAGTTCCAGGTTGTACAGGTTATGTACCCTTGATGGCAGGCAACAATACTATCCCAGTCACTCTGACGTGCCACTTCTGCAATGTAACACATACTCCTTTTAGAAACAATCATTCTGAAGCTTTCGATACCGTAAGAAAGAGTACTTTGAAATAACTTCAGGCAGAACAGTTCATATTTAGTGTTCTTGTTGGACAGCCAAAAGGCTACCATTCAGAAAAACCACCTGGCAAACTGTGGTGCGTATGCTAGTGTAACTAAAATGCTAACAAAACCACAAGCATTTATTGGTATGTTATCTTTCATGTCTTTGCATATTTGAGTCTATGCGGTTTGAAAAGCATATTTAAACTTAAATGGTTTAAGCTGCTCAATCTGTACACATTTCCAGCTGAGTCTCTTAACTGTTTCTTCAGCTGCTGAAGCAGCAGAAGCCACCAGATTAATAGAATCATAGAATCATAGAATCA